ACTACCCCGCTGACCACCCCGACCATAAACATGGTTCCCCCAAGTACTCTCCCTGGGGGAACGCCCAGTTCCACCAGGACGCTCAGCACTCAAGTCAGTGATGGGAGTGTAGCCACAGGTTTTACCACTTCTCCTGCAGGTGCAACACCCAGCCCTCCCTCACAGGCCACTAGCACCATCAATGTTGCCACTTCAACCACACCATCCATGAGCACTCTCTCCAGCGAGACACGCAGCCCCACAACGGCACACAGACCCTCAGGAGATACAAACAGTACAGTAAGCGGTCCGACTTCGAACACAGCATCTGCAAGTACTGCCTCGCCTGAAGTTCAAGTCTCCCCAACTACGCCGAGCCCCACAGACAAGCCAGACACCCATGCACCCACACACAGCACTTCCGTGAACAGCACTACCCCGCTGAGCGCCCCGACTATAGACATGGTTCCCCCAAGTACTCTCCCTGGGGGAACGCATAGCTTCACCACAATGCTCAGCACTCAAGTCAGCGGTGGGAGTGTAGGCACAAGTTTTACAAGTTCTCCTGCGGGTGCAACACCCAGCCCTCCCTCACAGGCCACTAGCACCGTCAACGTTGCCACTTCAACCACACCATCCACGAGCACTCTCTCCAGTGAGACCCGCAGCCCCATAACTACACATAGCCCCCCAGCACATACAAGTAGCACAGTAGGCGGTCTGATTTCAAATACAGCACCCACAATTACTGCCAGTCGTAGCACTTCCATATTTACCACAATTATCACACCTACCACTACTACAAGCCAGAGTACTAGCAAGACTTCCAGTACCAAAACTACCATTGGCAAGAGCACCATCCAAACTACCACAGCAGGTGAGCAGCAGTTTTTATTTGATGCATATGTTTGCTCAATCAATTTTTTAATGGTGCAAAAGTCATGAGTGGTTTTATATCTATTCCTGTGATTAGATGTGGGTGACCTGTGGTCTGAAGCAGAACATAAAGGTTTTGATTTATAAGAAATGGATAAGATATAGGGCTGATTGAGTGCCAGTTTGATGACCCAGTATGCACCACATATCTATCCAAAATCATATCTGGCATGAAATGATTTTGCCTCTAAGCCTTAGCTTTTCTATTCTGGGAATTATATTTGTGCCCTTCCCTGCATCTCTTGCTGTTGGGCCTGTTGGCTGGGGCAGCTAAGAGTGGTGACTCAACAACATTTGAAAGGCCAGAGGGAGCTCCCTCCTCTTCTGCTGGGATGGCGGGATGGACATCTTCTTTGGGAAATATCTGTCTTGTGCCGGGGTTCTAGAAGAACATGAGAGCACTGAATGTTTACAGGCTTCAGCTTGTGCAGACATTGAAAGAATTGTTTTCATCTTGTTTTGCCAAATTTTGGCTAAAACCTGGAGGGAGGCCTGGTATGCAGAATTTACTCCCTAATCTTCTTTGGGAGACATCCATTCATGATCGACATCATTGTCAGTGCTGATTTGAATCATTCCTTTGCAACGTGAGCATGTTAAGAAGAGATTATCTATATTGATTGGAAGTGTCAACAGTCCTCAGATTTAGACACCTTTCTAATGGAAAGGGAAGAGACAAGACTTTTCTTTTGTTTTTTAAAAGAAGCCTCTTTAGTTTAACTGACTACATTTCTCACTTCATTACTTTTAAAATTGACCTGTCTCCCCATCCTTCCTGTCAGCTGATGTCAGTTTAGAGGTTGAAGGAGATGAAGAGAGTGTTGAGATTTGGTGTCACATGAATTCATGTGAGCTCATTTTATTTATTTGCTAGATTGTTTATATAGATCCCACTGTGATAAATTATCATCTTATAAGAATAAATTATCACTTGCAAATTAGATCAGCATGTAAGGACTTCTCTCTTCCAGAGCTATGCTACAATGGTGGAACCTATGATGGAATCAAATGCATCTGTAATGAGGATTTATTCTATGGGCCCAAGTGTGAGTTTCCTGTGGATGAGATCCCTGTCAAAGATAGTAAGTACAATCAAGGAGAGCTTGATGGTTCTTTCCAGATGACAGCCTGCTACAGCTTTCTCAAACTGCTTGCATTCCAGATATATTGGATTATATCTGCCATCATAATAGAATAAAAATAATTGGTGCTCTCTGATCTTGGTTGTTTGCTTACAGATGTTTCATTACCCAACTAGGTAACATCATCAGTGCTAGTGAGTGTGGGGTTT